ATCAACAGGTATTTGGACAACTACTGGGAACATGGCTAATGCACGATTTTGGCACACAGCATCTGTATTATCCAATGGGAAAGTATTAGTTACTGGTGGATACAATAATGGTAATATTTTAAACAGCGCTGAATTGTATGATCCATCAACAGGTATTTGGATAACTGCTGGTTACATGAATAATGCACGAAATGCTCACACAGCATCTGTGTTATCAAATGGAAAAGTATTAGTTACTGGTGGATCCAATAGTGATAGTACTTTAAATAGTGCTGAATTGTATGATCCATCAACAGGTACTTGGTCAATTACTGGTTACATGACTAACGCACGATATGTTCACACAGCAACTGTATTATCAAATGGAAAAATATTAGTTACTGGTGGAAACAATGGTAATACTGGTACTTTAAATAGTGCTGAATTGTATGATCCATCAACAAGTACTTGGACAACTACTACTAACATGAATAATGCACGAGAGTCTCACACAGCATCTGTGTTATCAAATGGAAAAGTATTAGTTACTGCTGGATGGAATAATGGTATTACTTTAAATAGTGCAGAAATATATTAATTATTTCAAACAAATTAACTTATTTCATTTATCTTATTCTTTTCCTCGCAAATAATTCAAATTCCAAATAAAACTTTAGTTAGAAAAATTCTCAACTTGTGACGTCCACTAACTGTTTCCTTTTATACTTTTACTGAATTAACATTTACTTTAATATTCCATCCTGAATAAAAATAAGTATCTTTGCTTTTCTTACTCTTGTAGATTAATTTATTAGAATTAACAAAAGTTAAAACTGATACAATAACTTTAATTATCGTTTTAAATATGTTCTCTTACGAGGAAGGTTCGCCAACTTTAAAATCCCTTTCAGGTTCAAACATAGATGATCATAGGCAATCGACCACGCTGAATCCGAATATCTTGGTCGTTACTGCTAGTGGAGTCCTAAATTTCTTGATTTTCTAGAAAAACAGTTTTCCATTAAAAAGTACAGGGGAAAAAATGGGTACGTTATATTTGAATAAGCAATTCAAATGTTACGTAGGGTGGGTGTGAGTGTGGGTGTGGATATAGTTGTGAGAGTACTGTGTCTGTGATATCCACACCCCTACACACACCCTCAAGATCTGTATTAGTTATGCACACTTTAATCGCCATTCAATCGAGAAAAAACGCTTGTTTCTCGATTGAATGGCAATCCTATAACTTTGTTATAATTGATAACTGGTGTTTTGAAAGGGATTATTGCTTTTCGTTCTATGATACAGCACTGTCAGTTCTTATGTCTACATATGATAAACAGTATAGAAAAAAAATAAATCAGTTATATCGATGAAAGTGTGAATACAAATCTACACTTCAATCGTAAGGTAATACGGTGACAATCACACACATTTTCCCATATAAATAGCAGATATGATTAAAAATATTTTTCATATCTGTTCAAACCCTTTCTTTTTACAAAAAGGAAGGTAGATGTATGAAAATTTAATATAAAAAAATAAACACATATTCAACTATTGTTTAATTATGTTCGAATAATGTTGATTAGAACAGTCTGTTTTTGATTATATCTATCGATGATGTGTTCGTAGTTGAGCGATAGAAACCAAGGACTCATAAGACGAGTTACGATCAAGTTGAAATCAGAGGGATACGTATTAACTGTAAGATTAAAGTGTTTAAGGCACGAGAATATTGTAAGAGTATAAGCTAACTGTTGAAAATCGCAAGTATCGAATGTTATACAAAGATAGGTAAGATCAGGAAATCCGACAGATAAAAGAAGCTGCTCCAAATGGAATTGAGATAATAAAGCATTGACAATATTTAGACGACGAATACGAGAATGTGTGGATAATAGAGGAGAAGATGAACTATTTGTATATAAATAATCAATGGTTAATGAAATAATAGAAGGAAGATATTGAACAAATTTATAGATGATTTCATCTGATGCCGAATGTAAATGAAGATGACGAATTGTTCTGTTTATAGAATGTGTAGCGTTCAGTAAATAAATGGAAGCACCTCTTGGACAACCAACTGATATAAGATAAGGAAAACGTGCTTGTTCAAAGAGAATTCGTTGATAAAATGACCATGGTAAAGATGAAGAAAAAAAATGAGTCAAATAAGATTGATTATCGGGATTAATATGTTGGTATTGTTCTTTTGAGCAATGAGTTAAGTAGAGAAATCGAATATTAATTAATGAACGTAGATCAATTTGAGTATTCGGAAAGAAACGTTCATCTTTTAGATGTGTAATTTGCGAACAAAAATGCTTAAAATAAGGAAGAGAGTCATTGAATTTATCATTATTTTTGATGCTGATACGAATGTCGACTGAACGTAAAATCATATTAATATGATAATTCAAATTATACCATCCTTCAAGAAGATCTTTAGGTTCGATAAAAGAAAATATATATAGAAATAGTTCATCAGGTAAATTTTCGATTCGCATTGGATTGTTGTCAATTATCATTTTTAATAGTTAATCTAGAAAATGATAAATGTAATAATTAGTGTAGAAGAGTTACTTTTGAAAAGAGAGTAGAATCAATGTTATAAAAGATACAATAAAAAGTCTTGTATAATTATAAGGGACAAATATTGTCAATGACGATATCCACCACGCATATTAACTACTAAAGTAAGGGTAGCACCTTTTGAAATGTCATAGTCGGAAAGTATGCGAGCATCTTGTAGTTGCTTCCCTATGTATATAATTCGTTGTTGATCAGGTGGAATACCTTTCCTGTCTTGAATTTTTGCCTTCAAACTTTCGACAGTATCTTCTTTCGTAACAATAATTGTCATGGTTGTACCTGTAAGAGTTTTAATAAAAATCTGAAAACTAGTTCCTTCTTCAAGTGATTTTAAATCATGTTCATGCTTCTCATGACGATTTTTCTCCAGTTCTGTGTAAATGGACATACGTGTAGGTCGAAGATATTCGATTATTGTTGAATCCGTTGCAAGTTCATCAGGGAATTTGTTATTACTTGTTTTGGCTAATATTGCAGTATTAGCATCTCCATATGAAAGCAATAGATCAATCATTGTTATAGATCGATTGAAAAGACATGCTATATGCAAAGGAGTGAACCATTGATTTGTTACTAACTTGTATGTATTAGGAGTGATCAGTTTTTGCAATAATTCGAGATTATTGTCGACAATGGCATAGTGAATAGGATAGAGATTCTCCCAAGAGACTGCTTGAATTTCACTTGAATAATGGATAGAAATACTAGGTACAAATGAGCGAGCATAGGCGAGAGAACATGAACCAAATTCGTCAACAGGTGCGCCAGCGTCGAGTAACGTAAGAATTGTTGGCATTGAACGTGATTGACACGCAAAAAGAAATGCTCCACGTATAGTAGAATACGAATCACCACCAGGGAAACTTTGATCAACTAGAATACCAGCATTCAACATACATTGTACAATGTCTGTATGACCAAGAAGACATGCACGTTGATAAGCTGTTTGTTGTTCTTTATCTGGTGATGACCATTCAGAAGGAAAACGACGACGTATCTGAGATAAGTGTAGAAGTTCACCTTTTTTTAAATTCTTCACAGCAGACACATTATTTGTTTCGACTGCATCGAAAAGTATTTCTTCGGAAGAACTAGTTTTATTGTTGATCGTAGTACTTTCTGCACAGGCCATTATGTATGAATGAATATTTGTGTTCTGTAACTTGCATCAATTTTGCTTCATTCTTTTAATCTTCCTGGTTTTTTCCAATATATTGCACAACTTTATTGTAATACATTATACAAAAAAGCACATGGTTATCTTACACATTACCTGTGTAAATGCGACACATACACAGAACGAGTAAAATATGAAGCTGAGTCATACTTATGATTTCTTCTTATACTCCGTCTGATAGAAAAGAACATCAGATGGATGTAGGGTTGTACAGAACAGAAAATATTTTTTTTTCTTTCGATCGATTGTTGATCATAATGCAAGCAGAGAGTTTCGTCACTTTCTTTTTTTTATTTGGCATCGTACAGATTTTGGTGTAAGTGTTCGGAACAGCAGGAGACATTTTATTTTTCATTTAGCGATATTACTTTGGAAAGTCATGTTGACAAAAAAAGAGAACATTATGCTTGATAGCCGTCCTTCGTCTGTTCTTGCTAGCATTTTATTAGTTTAATTATCCCTTTAGGACCGACATGAACAGAGAATCTTCTCAAGCCAATAAAAAAAATATTTTGTCTAATATGATAATAAATACGTAGACACATGTAAGCATGCGCAGAACGAATGATTTTATTCAACATAGTCTTATGCTTATATGTGAAATCTGATCATTGAAGCATGACAAAATATAATTTATGACGAAAAAAAGACCTATAATAATATTTCTTTCTGAATATATTTATTTTAGAGAAGAAATCGATATGAGTGTTCCGGAACAATCATGTGAAATTGTAAGTAAATAAACATATATATTTATAATAAATTCTATGAATTTAGGATGATCATAAAATAACTCTTACTGAGCTATATCAACGCTACAATACTGATCCAAAAATAGTGAGTATAGAAAATTAGTTGTTCGCTTCGAAATATATTTCATCTTCATAGGGTCTAACAGATGCGAAAGTAGAAGAAATTTTTAATCGTTATGGTCCCAATATTTTGTCACAACCGAAGACAACAGTTGAATGGATGAAACTTTGTCGTCAAATATTTGGTGGATTTGCATTTTTGTTTTGGATTTGTGCGTGTCTATGCTTTATTGTGTATGGCCTTACAACTAAGACATATCATGATAACGACGCATCAATCAACTACGTGTGTAGTATTAATCATTTTCGTTTTATTTGTATATGTAATGAAAATTCTAGTTATGGCTCGGCATAGTGTTTGTTTTTATAATAATTATCAATGGCTTTTTTTCATACTATGAAGAATTGAAAAGCTCACGAATCATGGATACAATGAAAAACATGTAAGATGATTAAAATTTTTCGGTTTCTTCATTTATATTTTTCTGTAATATAGAAACTCTCAAGTATTTGTTCTTCGTAATAGCGAGAAAAAGGAAATAGACACCAAAGATTTAGTAATAGGTGATATTATTGAAATCAATTCTGGTGATATTATACCTGGTTAGTTTTTTTTTGTAAGAAAAAAAGTAAACTTTCATGTGACTTTCTACATATAAATAGCTGATATTCGCATTATCGAATCGGATAACTTCAAAGTCGATAATTCTTGTTTGACTGGAGAATCAGAATTACAATCACGTTCAACTGAATTTACCAATGAAAATCCATTTGAAACGAAAAATTTGGTTTTTTATAGTACTGTAGCAGCGGAAGGTTTGTATAATATTTCTTACACAATATTTTGCTAATATTTTAAGAATTATTAGGCACTGCTACAGGTCTTGTCATTCGTACGAGGAATCATACTATAATTGACAATATTTTTAAATCAATTGGAAATCAAACTACAAATGATACACCGCTTATTAAAGAGATTTCTCAATCGACTTATAGCATCACCTGTGTAGCCATCATTCTTGGTATAGTTTTCTTCGTCATCGCACTTAGTCTCGGTTATCCATTGATCGAATCAATCATTCTTCTCATTGTTGTTATCATTGTTAATGTACCGAAATGTCTATCTATCACTGTCACGGTAAATAGTAACTGTTGAAAAAGAATTAGAAATGAAATCTTTTTTCTTTTTGATTCCTGTTTTAGATATGTTTATCACTGATAGTAAAAAGAATGGCTAGAAAAAATTGTTTGGTGCGAAAGTTGGAAGCTATCGAACTTCTTGGTTCAACATCGATCATGTGTATGGATAGAAATGGAGTATTGACACAAAATCAGTTGGCAGTTACTCATATGTGGCTCGATAACAAACTTGTTCAAGTGGACATCAGTGACAAAGAAGACTGTAAGTTACTATTTAACAATAAAGAACGAAAAAAAATGAATGAGAGATATTTTTTTAGTATACTCCTTCGACAAAAATTCATCTACTTTCGTGGATCTAGCTCGTTGTACCGTGCTTTGCAATCGAGCTGATTTCAAACAAGATTCAGAAAATTTAGCACGATCAATAATAGAACGTGAATGTACTGGGATTGCGTCTGAAATCGCTGTACTAAAATATATTGAACTATCCGTTAGTAGATTTTTTTTCAAGGATTATTCTTTCATATAATTTTTTTGTTTGTATAGAATGGTAATGTGAATAAAGTCCGTCAGGAAAATCCAAAAGTGTATGAAATTCCATTTAATTCAGCAAATAAATATCAATTATCGATCCATGAAATGCATATTAATAATGAAAGTGGAGACAATTCTCACTCTTATTTATTAGTAATGAGAGGAGCTTTTGAACAAATTATTGAACGATGTTCATCAATTTCTATCGATGGTGCAGACTTGGAAATGAACGAGTGTAAGTGTGCTTTTACTATAGTTAAATATGATTCATGATCTTTGTTAACTATTGATAGATTGGCGAGCTGCATGCGAACATGCGTATTCAGAGTTGGGTAATTTAGGAGAACGAACAATGACTTTTTGTGACTTACGTTTACCGGCTAAAGAATATCCAATCGGATATTCATTCGATGTGGATGAAGTCAATTTTCCTACAGAAAATCTTCGTTTTCTTGGTATTGTGGGGATGAGTGATCCGCCGAAGAGAGCTATTCCTGACATGTCGGTATCATCAAATTTTTCATCTGATGACCTTGCTTTTCTTACTTTAGGATAAAGAAATGTCGTTCGGCTGGAATTAAAATGATTATGATAACGGGTGACAATGCAGTTACTGCGAAGGCTACTGCACGTGCTGTGAACATCATTTCAAACGGTTCAGAAACAATAGAAGATATAGCAGAACGTTTGAGCATTCCTGTAGAATCAGTCAATTCAAGTGACGCTAAAGCTTGTGTTATTCAGGGTAATGATCTCCATAACAAATCACCCGAAGAAATTGATGCATTGCTAAACAATTATACAGAAATTGTTTTTGCCCGAATATCTCCTCAAGATAAAGTCAGTATTGCTGAAGGTAAGTATGACATTATTGACAAAGAAAGATTAAGATCAATGCTCTATTTAGCATGTCAACGACAAGGTGGTATTGTGACTATGACAGGCGAGGGTACCAACGATATACCAGCTTTGCAACAAGCTAGTGTCAAAGTAGTTATGGGTTCGTTCACATTTTTCTCTTTTTTAATATCTCGAATAGATTGACTGATATATGTAGGTATTGCCGGTACAAATACATGTAAACAAGCAGGAGATATACTTCTGGTAGATGACAATTTTGCTTCAATTCTCACGGGTGTGGAACAAGGTCGTCTGCTGTTTGCTAACTTGAAAAAATCAATTGTCTATACTATGACATCAAACATTGCCAAAATTATGTCACTTCTGATTTGTTTATTAACGACTGTACCGTTAGCATGGGGAATCATTACTGTTTTGTGTATCGATTTCATTAATATAACAGGAGCTATTTCATTAGCCTACGAGAAAGCGGAGACAGATATTATGAAGAGACCACCAAGAAATCCAAAGAATACTCGATCTATCGTTGTTTTTAGTTCTATATTACTAGCTTCCAGTTTCATAGGTATCATTCAAGTAGCTACTGGGTTCTTTGCTTATTTTTTAATTATGATCAATAATTCATACGGTCAACAATGGGTTCGTATTTATTTATTTATTTAACTTAAAGAAAATTTATTTCTTTAGAATGATGAACAACGAAAACAACTGGAATTTTCATGCTACACTGCTTTCATTATTACTGTCATGTTTTGTCAATGGGCAACATTGATCATATTCAAAACTGGACGAGATTCCATTTTGCTACAAGCCATCAAGTAAGTTCGTTATAAATACTGAAACTATGTCAATAACAAATTAATCTTAAACTTTAGTATGAGATTTGGAGCCATTCTGGTTGCAATCATTGCCTACATAATATATAACAATACCACTTATCCATTCAAGTAAGAATCAATATCATTTCTATTGTACCTTTTAAATTTGTTTTCACATTTAGATTTGGCTGGTGGTATCCGGCATTGTTTTATGTTTTTCTAATGTTGATCTTTAATGAAGTGCGTAAATACATTGTTCGTAAACATCCTGATAGTGTGATGGCAACAACAACTTCTTATTAGACTTTTCAAAATTATTTAGTGACACTTACAGTTTTTATTATTTAGTTTATTCTTTTCAATTCTAATGTTTTACTAATCATATCTTACTTAGTTGATGCAGCGCTTTTATTTAACTAATACATTCTATAGATGAAAAAAATTACTTTGAAATGTCTTTCATTAAAGAGGGTGTGCGAGCGGATACTATCAAATCGTTTCGAAACGATGCTCACATCCATACAACCCTCATCTGTGCTCAAAATCAAATCAAGTCCCTCACAACCACACAAGTCCAGAGGGTGGGTGTGGAATGAGGATGAGAGTGAATGGGTGTGAGTGAGTGTAGATTTGTCTGTGTGTAAGTCATCTTCACACCCACACCCTCAAGACTTTCCATCGATTTTTCTCTCAGAAGAAAGAGAATCTGAAGGTGTTGCATAGACTTCCTGTAGTAGCAAAGTTGAGTATTTTTGTTTATTCTTCAAAAGATACTGTTCTAACAGAAACTATAACTGATAAATGTAGTATTAAACTTTTCTAAATCTCATTTAACTATTAGTCATCGACAAATAACTGAATCTGTCAAAAGAAGTAGAATGAGGTTTCAAAGTGAAACATTTATCTAGTTGAACTGAATGAACAACAGATTCGTCTTGTTCTAGTTGTGAAGAAATATAGTGATATCTAATGTTAGAGGCATATTATACCGTTAAACAAGAAGATAACATAAATGTGCTATTACTATTGAACTTTAACAATATCACTTTGATAAAAGAGGTTTGGAATTTACCAGATAGTCCTGTACTGAATTTTAGTTTTCCTCTTGACGAATTCGTGATAAATTGTGCAAACTGTTGTTCTCTCAAAACTGATCGGCACTACATATTTTATGGTTAAGTATTACTGAAGAAATCTTTTTCTGATTGAATGTCATCGGGTCGAACCCTTTGTTCCAGTATTACTGAAAATATTCTCCCAGGATTTTACTATCACACCTAGAACTCTTTTATCATCCGACATCATTCGCAGTTTTCCTACTACCAAACAAAACCTTTTCCAACTCAGCTTCACTAAAAAAAATATATTAGCATTTCAATATTGTTATACAGAACCTCAGCTTAGCTTTGCACAGGCTCTGAACTCACAACATCATCAAATACCAAAAATACTATGCAAATATTATAATGACGATACATATTAATTTTGAAAACAAGCAGTTTTATTTACTGTCTCTGTCAAAATTACAACACACTAGAGTACTCGCATAATCAATACTACCGCCTTAATAATTATTCAAATACATTTAATATCACCATTCACGTTTTTCTTCCTCTGCCATTGCGTTCAAGTAATTCCTTGATTTCTTCTACCGCATCATCTGTGAAAACGTTCTGGCGGAGTTCTAGTATGGTGAGTGTCTAGGTAGAAATTAGAGATAAATACATGGTATAGATAAAGAGCAAATAAGAATTACTGTGTTGTGTTTTAATGCATCACTGAGATGTTGTTTTCCAATATCTCCGATTCCATTGTACGAGAGATTTAACGTGGTGAGTGTCTAGTTAAAAAGGTGTAGATAAACACTTGGCATTGCTGGAGAGAGAATGAGAGTTACTTTGTTGTGTTTCAATGCATTACTGAGATGCTGTGCTCCACCATTTCCGACTTCATTGCTCGAGAGATCTAGTGTGGTGACTGTCTAAATAAAAAAAAGTAGGTAAATACATAGTATTGATGGAGAACGAATAAGAGTTACTGTGCTGTGTTTCAATGCATAACCCAAATGTTGTACTCCAACATCTTTGATTCCATTATACGAGAGATTTAACGTAGTGAGTGTCTAGTTAAAAAGGTTTAGATAAACACATGGTATTGATAGAGAGAGAATGAGAGTTACTTTGTTGTATTTTAATGCATTACTCAAAGATTGTACTCCTACATGTCCAATATAATTTTATCCAAGATTTAACGTGGTGAGTGTCTAAATGAAAAAGTGTAGGTAAGCACATGTTATTTATGGAGAAAGAATGAGAGCTACTTCGTCGTCTTTTAATACATCACCCAAGTGTTGTGCTCCAACATCATAGATTTCATTGTCCAAGAGATCTAGTGTGGTGAGGGTCTAAATGAAAAAGAATAGGTAAACACATGGTATTGATGGGGAAAGAATAAAAGTTACTTTGTTATACTGTAATACATTACCCAAATGTTGTGCTCCGACATCGCCTATTTCATTGCTCGAGAGATTTAATGTGGTGAGTGTCTAAATTAAAAAGGGTACGTTAACACGTGGCGCATATTAAGAGAGAAAATAATTGGTCAGTGTTATTTGGGGTTATATCCGCGAAATGAATATGGTTCGGACTTCGTTTCGGTACCTACAAATATGGATATGAATATTTATACAACTTTATATGCTGTATAGCGTTAGATAATGTTCTGTCAGAGTCTAGTCTGAAAAGAAGTACCGTGTAGGAGTTGCTGTAATTTTAAATGCTTGCGAAAGATGGAATAATTGTTGATTAATGATTAATTGTTTGTAAGTTAGTGTTGCTGCAAAAGAATTATGAAAATTTGCACTGAATGAGTCAGAGCTTAATAATTTTGGGAATCTGTTGTTAGTCGTCTGTGGGTATCAGAAAAGATAGCTTTTTGTTAGTAGTTCGTTGACGAGTTTCTTTCATATCCAATGGTGTAACTCGAGCTGTGTTTTGCATCAGAACTTCATGTGAGTGATCTAGCTCGCTGAAATTCATTAGTATGATTTATATTGATGACAATATTTATAGATTTCAGTAGTTGCTTTCGATAGATTCATTATGAGTAGAAGACGAATACATGCTTAAACTAGTTTACAGACCATTAATTTCTTACAAAATCTAATTTTTATTAAAGAAATGGAATTTGAAAAACAAGGTGTTTACATACACGTAAAAAACAAATTACAATGTTTTGTCTTCTTTTTTTGCGTTCTTATTCAAACATTGTATGTTTATAATATCATAGGTGATTTGAAACGTGGAATACATAGATGAGATCGAAAAGAAAAAAATGAAATTTTTTTTTGTGATTATCGGGTCATTATTTTCATAGTTTTATAATACAGAAAATGAATTTTTGGGGGAGATTGTATGACAAATAATAGTTTGAAAGTTAATAGATAAAAATTAGAGTGATGATAGAAAAAAGTTTACCTGATATCGGTGATAACTGTCTAAGATTCTGTTGAATCGTTGACATACGTTTGTCATTGAGCATATAAGTGTAAAATCGGACTGATGATCGAGAATTCGGTAGACAAGCTCTACCGGTAATGTAAGAAATGAAACGACACTTTGATTTGCCATTGTAGACTATTGATGAAATGCGTACTGCGTCGCTTTATACGTTCATTGTATAATGTGTTGTTGTTTTTTCTTCCTTCCAATGAAATACATATTCATCTTGCATAATATATTTCACATGATGTTGCAATTACTTCCTAGAAGAAAAAAATAAAAAACAACGATGTCGCTTTCAAAGGCAGAATCGTAATTTGAATTATAATTAATAAAGTTTGATTTGCCCCCCTTTTTTTCAGCTTCTCTTTAGAACTTATAAACTTTATAATAAATGAAGAAAAGTTACGTTTTTCCAAGATTCATTAAAGCACAAGATATATTTTATAATGTTCATAAATTATTAAATAAAGATAGTAGAAAATGTGATCTGCATTTATATTCTTCACGATAATATTCTTAAATAACAGATAGAAATTTTTAATTTTATTAAAATTAAAGTAACAAGTATTTAGTTAATTTCAAAATCATATGAAAACTGGTTGTAAGCCATATCTGATAACTCTTCAACATTATTTTATTTTACTTCAACTCGATTTTATTATGCGCAATTTATTTTTCAGAAGTTTCATATTTATATAATCTTTTCGTTTTAATTATCTTGAAATATAAAAAAACACAAAGTTCACATTCACGATCAGCTATACATTTGGAATGAAACTACTATACACTTTAATTAACTGAATAAAAAACAGTGTTCAATATTAACTCATATAGATATAGTTAATTACTGGATTTTGTTGATATTAAAGTTACTTGTTTATTCTTTCAATCTTTCATTCTATGATTCAGATATAAGATTTAATTATTCAATTCTCAATCAAATATCAACACATCCGATTGTTTTCTTCAATTTTTACCAATGGAACAACTCATCTACACCCAATCCACCCTTCTCAGGTATGAAGTAGTCTGGTTAAATAATCAAGAAAAAGTTCTTAACTTTGTAGTGCGAATGTAAATAGTTTACTCATCAGTCTCATCTCCCACAGATTCTTCATGATAGCAAACGATTAGTAAGTTTTCGAAAGAAAAGTTTAAATCTGGATTATAATAAAAAATTGAAAAAAATAGACCAAGAAATACGGTGTATCGAAGCGAATGTCTGATACAATTGTTTGTAGACAGTGATGTAAATATACTACCAGACACTGCACTTGTCCACTCGACTATTGCCTTGACCAGGCTTACAACCAAACACTCGATCGAACTCAACAAAATTTGACGTAGGACCAAATACTCTACAAATAAAAATGATGCAGAATAGTATACGAATATATATTAAAAAATGTCTACCTAAATTGTGAAGGTGAGTGTACATTTGCCATAATATAAGAATGCGCAGATTGTTTTGTCATTTTTTCGCACCACATATGACCAAAATTAAGAAAAAACATTTGTTCTTTTGAATATTTGGTTAGACCTGGAAGCTTCTTTTCCAACTTTTTATGTGTTTTAGTCCATTGTTGATAGGCCTAGAATACAGATCGATTTAACATTCGAAATAATGAATTATAAAACATACAAAAAAAGCTTGTTTCAGTCCAGCATTGTCAGCAATATTTTCATTCTGTGTTCGTTCACCATTCAACTGTAACAAGAAATAGTTTATTTGTTATAATTAAACAAAAAAAAAAAGAACCTGACGATTGATTTGACTCAATGTATAATTATTGTACTGTTCAATGATACATTTTTTACGTTCATCAAAGGCTTCAATAGTCTCATTGGTCCACCAGGGAATTTTGTTCCCATTCATATTATATTTCATGCCTTCACTATCAAAACCATGTGTAATCTCATGCCCTATAACGGAACCAATGCCTAAATTCGATATTATATTTCTGTTTCTGTCTTCGAACTAAATCCATTCTTACCACCATAATTGAGATATCTATAAAGTTCATAAAATATATTTTTATATGAAACAATTTTTTTTCATTACCTAGGTGCATCTTTATCAAAGATGGGTGTATGAAGAAAAGCAGCTGGAAAGACTAAATGGAAAGAAAACATAATATTTCAATGTTGGAAGACGTTTCGTACCTATCTCATTCAATGAACTTCTATACGCAGCATTGATATCTGTCGGTAAGATGCCAGTCCAGTCATTACTATCAACTGGATCACGAAGTATTCGAAGACCGTGTTTCGAATGTAATTGAAGTAAACTCAAAACGTTCGACATAAACGATGTGTTGAAGTTATACTAATAAAATAAGAATAGATAGTAATAAAAATAATTTATTTTCCTATCTATTATACATCCGCATAATCTTTCTCAAGTTTCATCACATCATCATTCTCTAAATAATCAGGATAACCAATTTTTTCTTTCATAACTCGAACCTAAATAAAAAAAATATTTTTATTTCTAATATGAATGTCAATCCATTGATTACTCTACTTTTTCAATAGTAGCACTTTTTGATTTTGAATCCATCCACACTGTCTGATTGATCATCTTTATAAATACATTTCGAATATTGTCACTCATTTCCGTTATCTATGAAAGGATAGTAGAGAAATATTTGACATCAGTGACTTTATATTATTATTATCATTTAAATACTTCTTTCCGAATATCCTTATCAAAATATTTGTTTATATAGATTTTTGAAACTGTCAAGCCCATCATTGCATTAACGTAATTAGCACATATAGTGGGACGTCGTTGACTACCAGTGGTGTCATAAAACACATAGTTATATTGTTGTACGATGTTTCGAAATCGTTTTGGCATATTCAAAGCTCGGTTCATCATGAAACGCCATATCATGTAGTTCTGTATAGTACGTGGTGATTGTTGACCAATAATTGACACAATATCAAGCAAAACTTTAGGTGCATACACAGTAACAATGTCCGTATCAACGAGAGATACATTTCCAAATAGATATAAACGACGAAGATAATTAGTAAAATTAGACTAAAGTAAATTATACAAAAGAAAATTGTAGAGTATCTAATAAAGTTGATATTTATACTAACGTTCACTATACGCGAAAGATTACCAACTGTTGTACGAACAATATCTTGAAAAGATAGTTTGTCATGTTTCATCAGTTTCTATGTAAAAGAAGTTAAATTAGAAAATATTGAGAAGAAACGAAATTTACTTTGATAATTTCTAATTCAAAATTTTTTAAAGCAAGAACATCATCATCGATTGTTGACGTGTCATTAGTCAATGCTCGAGTCAAGTTATTAAAGAACTCGTAATAAGCTTTATAAACTTCTGTTCCTTTTACAAGATGAATCAGATTTTCTCGAAGATCACTAAAATCGATCTGAAAATTGAATATACATATATATATTATCCATAAGTTACCCAACTAGTAAATCTTACTCGAATACTTCGAACCGATGAATTCTTATCGTCAGCAACTGACTTGATTGTGTATAATATAAAATTATTGTATTGGTTTAATTTAAGTGTCAAACGAGACAAATCAAATGTTGATTCGTTCCATGTCAAACCTTCTAAGACAGGCCATCCACCAAATTCTGTCTTGACCAATGAGAGTATTACATCGATATCTTCTATTTCAATAGCATTTTCGTCTATACAAGAATCATACAAACGACGAGCATTGATAATTGCTCTTGGCTCTACTGTGTCATTTTGTGATGGTGATGTTGAAAAGAAATCTTCACAAAAAGAAAAACGAGAAAATATATGTAGCACAAGAATAAACTATCGTACCAGCAAGCGCATTTTCTAATCGTATCGTCAGTCTTGATAGTGAACGATGTTTACCATCTGAGAAATGATAAAATATAATAATTATTCAATTATTTGAAGCTTACTTTCAGGAGGTATTCGTGTGTTTTTAAGCCATGTACCACAAGCGAACTGATAAAAGTCTTCACATGGATTGATTGTTTCATCAATACTTTCGAGAAGATAGTTTGCTAAAATGATCAAATAGTTCTTCATAATGTGACAAAATATATTTACCTGCTTTAATACAGTATGGACTTAAACATACATCATTGGTATCTTTCACTAAATTTATTATTTGGTAAGGTATAATATAATACAATTATGTGACATTGATACATACCTGTTATTCTATTTTGTTGATCTCTAGACTTATTCCGTTCGATAGCATAAAATATGAGCAATATGATGATAGAAATTAGTAAAAGAATGATAATAATGCCAGATAATCGTGATGAACGATCTTTATTCGATTTTGATGATTGGCTACAATCATAACAAACGAAATAATTGTATTCAAAAGGTAATTAGCAGCATATACTTCGAAATCTTTCTTTTTTCATCCACTTACCTTTGATGAAAAAGAGTATATACAGTGTTTGCTTCTGAATCGGTGCGCATCGTTATTATTATGATAAGAATTAATACATTCATATATATATATATATATGATTTATTAGTGTACTTTGATCTTTTCTTCTTCCGTCCTCCATGTAATATGATAAGATTATTACCATGAGAGAAAATCCGAATGATGCAAAAAACTTGATTACGTGGCGCACTAAAGGTCAAAACATTTGTGTTTCTTATTCTATAAACGGGCACCGATAGAGAAAATCGAAACAGAACAATACACAACACGATCAATCAGTTTTGAGTCGACAAGAATATTTTATTTATATTCTATATCTTTATGATATGTTATAGATTTAAATATTTTAAGCTAGATAGTCGTTTCGTTTGTTTCTACTTTTAAAAAAGCAATGACTTTTGCCATTATACTTGAGGGTGTAAATGTGGATGAATAAATAAAAGATAAAAATTTTTTCTATGCATATATTCACATTAACATCCAACATATCTAAATTATATACAGAAGTAGACAGCTGGTATCTTTAGTAGATATTAGATACCATCAATTACAGATCTGGTGGCAACTGGCAATAATCTGAGAAGTATCACGATCTCAATGCGTTTTATCGGATTGTTCAATCTACCTGCATGCAATACTACAACAGACTATTGTTTAAGTCTTCTTTGAGACGCAAAGTTTTATTCCTTTAATTTTCCACATATAAGATAAAGAAAATGAGCAAGCGGTCGCATAGTTTTGAAAACTGTCTAAGATCTTTTTCTTCAGTTTTTCTCTACTCCAATCCAATTTAATTCCCACTTTCGGGCTGCCATCATCGCTATAGTTTGCTCTTTCGGTTCGGATGTGCCACTCCCCCTTTTTCAAAGGTAAATTTTGAAGCCGGACTTGCTCTCTGCATAGATTGATGTCATTCCAGTGACTATCCAGTGATGCATCGCACCACCGAGGCTTGTAAAGTAGGCAGGCACAGTCTGGAACTGACAATGAGACGTATCAACTTGAACGACGACACCATCGACACTGTCATCATAAGGTTTCCACTGCGTGTAATTAGTTCGACCTTGACAGAGCTTAGGTTGCCTAGCGAGGATGTCTTTCTGGAGTTGACTGTTTTTCTCCTCGAGTGCGTTCAGCTTTGTTACCTGCATCTCCGAAGTTTTTTCCTGTTGATTGACCTTTTGATTCAGGTTATCGAGCTGTACATCCTGTGCTTGCGAGGTTTGCTTGAGTTCGTTGTTCTCCTCCTCCAGTGCGTTCAGCTTTGTTACCTGCATTTCCAAAGTTTCTTTCTGTTGATTGACCTTTTGATTCAGGTTATCGAGCTGTACTACCTGTGCTTGCGAGGCCTGCTTGAGTTCATTGATTGTCTTCAACGCATTTCCGAGATCAGATACCCAGCCATAGGAATCAAGCCAAGTATCTCCGATACCCTCTGTGATGCTGAGCGTTGCGACTCCATGCCAAGTGGCAATAAAACACAAAGTAAAATGTACGAGAAAGAGAAACATTTTTGAGAATGTGGAGTGAATGGTGATAATTTTTCTTAAATACTATTCAATAAAGCAATCTTAGCGTCTGTTTGCAGAAGGATTTCTAACACATCTCATTCAATTTTGTTTCGAGATGCTAAGCCCTTAGGTTTCATGTTTCGTGCTTTTTTTCTGAGAAAACGTGAGGAATATCGAAGTTTGGTTTCGGAGAAAAAACAAATTTTCAGCGACTGAGGCTGAGTGTGGGCGTAGGTGCAAGTGCGGGTGTGGGTGAAGGTGTGGATGTAATTTAACATATGATGAACTCACACTCACATTCATACCACCCCCATCCATACACACACCCACACTCAGTTTCTCATAAATAAATTCATGCTGCAAAACAATATTAGAACTTTTTCATCGATGATTAAACATAAAAAAATACATAAATTATTATGAATCTTTCTTCATATTGAATCAGAAAAAACTCACCAGATTTATCATCTTTCTGATAATATCTCGATTCTTCTCCCTTTTATTATAAAATATGAATTATCTATTTGGAAAACAATTTATTGAATTATCATTAAATAATAATTGGAAATAACTCGAAATACCTGGAGAAGATGTGTTTCCCCTTTGGTATAAATATTCAACATTGCTTAGAAAACATTATTTTTTCTATAATAAACTACGATGTTTTGTTGATTTATCAATAAAAAACACAACTATTTCACCTAATGTTAAATTCTCATCGAAAAAAGTTAACTTTTACTTTTGTCTTTAAATGAGAAATATTTGTATTTAATATCGTCAAATAAATAAAAAGAAGTGAAGAACAGAAACTAATTCTATGATATTATTAAATAAAATTGAAGAATTTATAGACAAATCAATTGTTAAGATTATTTTAACGATAAACAATAAAATGACACAATTCAACTCTTTTCTTTTAATTCAAAATGTCACTTCGATAGACTTCTTTTCTTCAATCGATCAAAATGTAACCCAGTACACGAAAATGACTGTGTAATTATTCAATATCTTTCGACAGATCAAACCGTATCGAGTGATTCTCATTTCGATTAACAGCGATTATTCGAAGTCAAAGTAGTTTGAAAATAATTATACAATGTATCAATGTCTTCGACGGTTTCCGAACAATTAGAGTATAGAATAGAACAGAATAAAAGATAGATATGGAAGTTTCGATCTCTCGTCGTGTCCATCATTCCCTTTATTAGATCTAATGGAATAATTCGATTCTTCTATCTTCAACTTATTTCGAATGAGAAGATTTTGTATTTTATCAGTAGAAACAATGAAACCATCAATATTTCATTTATTAGAAAAACAATCATTAGTCTTTGTCCGAATATGTACACAAAACAAAAGTTTATTTTAAAATGATGAAAAAGAAATGAGATTTATAAAGTTAATCTTTTCTTCTTTTCTTTGATAGAAAAACGAAAATTTCATATTTAACGTTTGCTACCAATCTTAGTTTTAACTCATCTTTTTCACTTTCATTTATTTCATCAGATCCAAAACTATCATTTCGAAGAGATCTTTTCATCATTATCATCATATATTTTTTACAATTTCATGAAAACTTCGATGCGTAACAAATAGAATTTTCATAATTATTAAAATAGAATGTTTTCAGAGAGTTTTATTTGATTGACAGTGAATCATTCATTTCATTAAATCCAACTAAACAACGAAACAGAGATTTATTTTGTCAAATTGATCAGTTCTATAAGAACAGATTCATTCGGATTATTTCTTTTTCTTCTTAAAATCCAAATCTTCAGATTCATTCGTTTTGACTGAAATTTTATTTTATTTTAAAAAACTCTTTTGACGTCTTTTTGTTTTCTCACAGAACTCTGACATGAAAATGAAAATGATAGGAATGAATCGAATCAAAGAAAAAAGAAAGAAACATCAATCGATGACGATGTCATGATTAAAATGAGAATTGAAAAAATTTCAAAATTGATTTTGAATGAAAAATATTTTGACGAACGAGTTTATTTAATTGAGAAAACCAGAAGAAGCAAATGAAAATTATAAAAGATTTTATTGAAATTTAAATACAAAAATTCAAAAATCAATTTCTTCTTTAAAATTATCCAAAGAGTTTTCACAAATAATACAAACATCTTTTAATCAAAAATTATTCTTCATTTTTATTTTAAAATTCGGTTTTTTTATTTTCACAAAATTAATGTAATCAAAAATAAAATACCTTAATCAAAACAGTTTTCATATTTTAGTATTCGATGATTTGAACGATCCACAACATAAAGATTCTCTTCATCATCGAATGATAAACCAGTGGGACAATTCAATTGATTTAATTCTTTTCCTTCTTCGTTTCCGCCAACAACAATTTCACCTTCACCATTTCCTTCACACCAGCGCATCACTCGATGATTGTGACAATCTGCTACATAGATTTGACCCAAATGATCAACAATCACTCCAGTAGGATGAAACAATTGTTTGAGACTGCTGCCTTGACCATTTCCACCAGCAACAACAATGCCTTCTTTTGCATTTTTTCTCCATTTCATCACACGTTGGTTTTCACGATCTGATACATAAAGAGAATCATCTTCATCAACAAAGATATAATTAGGATAATTGAATTGATTGAGTTGTCCCCCTTTTCCATTTCCACCTGCCACTATAATTCCTTCATTGTTATATTCTCCCATTTTCCATCGTCTCACTTCATTTTTCTCACTATCAGAAATATAAATAAATCCATTTTTATCCATTGACAGACCATAACAAGCGATATCAGAAATGAGAATTTGTGGTTTTATTTCATTTTGACGAAAACATTGGATTAATCGCCTGTTTCTTTTATCAGAAATGATAAAAGAATTCTTTTGTTTGTCAACAAGAACATCTCTTGGATAAGATAACTGATCATTTCTGTTTCCTTCATCGTTTCCCCCAGCAATGACTTGTCCTTTGTTTGAATGATATTTCCATTCAACAATACGGTGATTCTCAGTATCAGCAATGAAAATATGGTTGTGATGATCAATAAAGATCCCATAAGGATAAGTGAGTTGATTTAACTGATTTCCTTGCCCATTTCCTCCCGCATAGATAATTCCATTTTGTTTGAATTTGTTAAATTTTGTTTTGCTTTGTTCTGAAAATGTGAAAAAAGGTGAATTTCATTGAAATAAATTTGTGAAAATGTTGATTTTTGATGAAAAAGAAAAAATCGAATTTGAAAATTCAAAATTAAAAGAAAAAGAAATTATCTTTTTTTTTAATTCAAAAAGTTCTTAAAATAAAGTATTGTGAATGAGAAATCTTGGGGTGGGTGTGAGTATGTCTAAAAGAAAAAAATGACACTCACACCCATATCCACACCCGTTCTCAGTTCTACCCTCATTTCGTAATTTTAGATATGGGATGTGATAGACGCACTAATTTCAAAAAACAATTGATGCTCGAAAATTGTGATAAACATAGTGTTGCGGACTTAGAAGTTTCTGAACAAGTCATCTGGATTCAAGATATTTATAAACTTACTTGGAGTAGGTTCCTTGTTGTGCACAGTCGAAGGAAATGGAGGTTGAATTAAAACGACGGGCGGTTCAATTTGTTTTAAATGAATAATACGTAAATCTGCACCCTGTTTCATATTACCCATAACTTCAAAGTAACTACACGGCAATAGAATTACTTCGTTTTCCAAAGGAAACTGTGAATGATTTTTAATCATTTTCCCGTTGAAACACTGAATATTAAATAGAGTTCGTGGACCACTCTCTCCAAGAAATGTATCTTTCTGTAAAACGTCTAAAGATGTTGTCGTCGACGAAAGTCCCCACCATGCAAATTTCTTTCCTTTTGGATAATCATCACTAACATTTGCCTTTACACCTCTGAATACGAGATCATGAACATCATTTAACTTCCACAAGGCTGTGAGAAATAATTTTAGGTACGAAAAGTACGGTACGAGTTGTTGTCGATTTTCACTTCGTAGAAGAGTGTTCAGTTGATGGTACATGCACTGCATTGTGTACAAATAGACAGCAGCAGATTCATCGGGTGTCAGACCATCTTTCGGTTGTTCACAGTTACCAGTTGCTGTCCAAACATATGCTTGAATATTAGGAATTAAAGATTCAAACGGCCGTACAGCTTCTTCGAGTGAGACAAGTGGTTTCAGTTCATAATCGTGTATGGGCGAAAGACGTCGTTGTGGTTCTGAAGTGGCGTCCAGAAAACGTTCAGATGGAATGGAGTTAAATTCGGCCATCTTAGTTTTACTATTGATGCAACACACTGTTTTGTAAGAATCGTAAAAGCAAGAATATAAAAAGAAAAATAAGAGTTCTTTTTTTTTTGTTTCTGTATTGCTCGCACAGAAAAAAGAAAGAACACACACTTTTGATTAAACATATGAAAGGTAGAATTTATTACACTAAGAAAAATGTTTAGACGAGTGTGGGTATCGACCAGTAGATGTGTGCAAACGGTCTGGCTATAGAGCAATAATGAATCCATACTCATACTCTGACACCCACACCCTACTGTTTTCCACTTTTCTTGAGAACCTCAGAAGGTAGAAAAATTATTCAAACGCCATTCGACCAAGGTTGTCATATTATATTTATGCTAATAGAAAAATGAATAGTTTCTCTTGGACTCTCGAGTCTCTGGAAAGATTTTTTGATTGTGTACCGGGGTCACAGAAAAGGATCCTAAATTTGAAGTTTTCACCTTCAAACCGTGAATTTCTGCAAAAGTCTCTATCTAAATAAAATTCTGCAAGGACAAATTTCGTAGAGTATTTAGCGAGCTTCACAATTGCAAAAGGAAATTTGCTCTAACATACTCTTACACAATTTTCAGCAAACTTATAATATTAGAGTTTAAAAACGAACAAGGAAAGTAATAAAATTATTCTTGATTTAACATACGGATGAAGATAAATATTATCTGATATAGATGGTATGTATCAAAGATTGTTACTGTAAGTAAACATCACACGTTGACAGAAAAGTTGTTAATTCATCAAGAATTCGGCAGACAATCTTAACAAATAATGTAAAAAGAATAAAGTACCTTTACGAGACATGAATGTTATTTCTATTGAATTGTATCTTTCGTTAAAATGAATATTTTTTTTTGCGTGAGTTGTTTACTTATGTCATTTTTCTTGTTTTTAACAGAACGAAAAAAAAAATGTGATGATTACAGCTCGTCAAATAACGAGGTTATTATCGTTCTGTATTACACTTTATATGAAACTATAAGCTGCGTCCTTGCCGACTAATGAAATAATTTTCGTTCTTCCTCGTCCACCACGTGTAAATGATAGATCAGTCCAATTATTTCTTTTTACTCTACAGTATAAAGGTAAAAAGAAAGAAAATGTTTATTTCAATCAATAATATCAATCAGTACTGAATCGGAAAAATTCTCAAATAAACAATTTATTTAAAAGTTCAATACATTGCTTTTCATGCTCACCAGGACGAAAGTATCAATAATAATTACGCAGATCTATAGGTACAATTAGTCATAGCGACTCACAATGCATATGGTAAGCAAGTTTGGGAAAGAAGAAAGAGATATACAGAGCTGTTCAAAAAAAACCTGCACAAAATTGGATTTTTTGCAGAGATATATCTTCGTTAGCTGTACTACATCTTGATTGTATAAAAGTGTGATTTCTTTTCTTTTGAATGCATAAACATTTATCATGATACCCATGTAAAAAAAGTTGTAAAAATCATGACTTTTATGAGAAATTCGATGAGAAGTCGATTTAAATGATACGATTCTCATAGCTTGGTAATCGGTTAAGTTGAAGTAATTAATTAAAATCGATTAACCTGATGTATAAAATCGATTAAAATTGATTAAGTTGCATATAATTGATTAAAACTCAACGGTACTTATTTTTTCGTGAGAAATAATCGATTTTAATCGATTTTATACAACAATTTAATCGGTTTCATTTGATTATTTCAATTTAATTGATTACCAAGTTATGAAAATCGTGCCATTTAAATCGATTTCTCATCGAATTTCTCATAAAAATCATGATTTTTACAGCTTTTTTTTACATGAGATATCATCTACTGATTTAAGGAAAGCATCATATATTGAGGGTGTGGGTGTAGTTTATTATATGATGAACTCACACCCTCACC